GGCTGCAAATAGTTTAAAATAGATAATATAACAAATGGATAAAAGGAGAAGTAGACAGCAATCAATATAAATTAAAAGTTATGAAGTGTAGAAAGTTGATAAAGGAAGCAAGAGAAATCAGGGACATTAATCCCAGGGAAAATAATAGAAAAGCTGACACAGGATTCAGTTAATAAAGAAATAAAGGATGGAAATATAATTAATGCCAGTCAACATAGTTTTATGAAAAACAGAACTTGTCAAACAAACCCAATTTCATTTTTTGATAAGATTACAAGTTTGATTGATGAAAGGAAACTATGCAGATGTAGTAGACTTTTGTAAGGCATGTGATTTAGTACCACATGACATTCTGATTAAAAAAATAGCACGGTAACAGGGTGCTTACCCTGCTCCTGTCTGAGGGGTTTAAAACAGCCCTGGCAGAGGGCTGGGGCAAAGGGAAAAGGTACTGGACTGATTGAGAAAGTAGCCACAGCTGGGCCACGCCCCAATCAGGCCCCAGCTGGCCCTATATAAGAGGCTGGGAGCCAGGCACTCAGAGTCTCTCTCTGCTTTCAGAGGGAGAAGGACCTGGCTGCAGGGAACTAGACAGGGTACCTGTAGTGGAGTAGGGCTGGGGAGCTCCAGCCTGGATAGCCCCAGGCTGCGGCCTAGCGGAAGGCCAAGGGGTACTGGGGGTTGCAGAGGGCAGCCCAGGGCTAGTCCAAGGCAGCAGGTCCAAAGCCCCCTTGCCAGTGATGAGTGGCTTATACTGCAGTCTGCCCCAGGGAGTGGGGGCTAGTTGGTGACTGGCAGTGGCCTAGTGCTGAGGCAAGGTGGGGATAGTGGGTGGAGGTTCCCCAGGGAGGGGAGACCCAGATCTGTGGGGTACTGCTGGGGGGCAGCATCCCAGTAATAGGGGCACTGGGTCCTGGGAGGGACATGGGGGGCCAGTGCAGAGGACAAGGCGGATCACTGGCCTGTGGAGGGCGCGCCAGAGGCTGGTGAGCTAATTCCCTGGATGACCAGCAGGAGGCGCCGCAGGGATGAGTCCGCTCTTCTACAAACACTATAGAATATTTAATGAATCACACATTAAATGGATGAGGAACTGGCTAACTGAGACATGTCACAAAGCAACAGCGGGTCCTGTGGCACCTTTAAGACTAACAGAAATATTGGGCGCATAAGCTTTCGTGGGTAAGAACCTCACTTCTTCAGACTTGCATCTGAAGAAGTGAGGTTCTTAACCACGAAAGCGTATGCTCCCAATACTTCTGTTAGTCTTAAAGGTGCCACAGGACCCTCTGTTGCTTTTTACAGATTCAGACTAACACGGCTACCCCTCTGATACATCTCAAAGTAGTTGTCAATGGGGAATCATCATCGAATGGAGGTGTTTGCAGTGGAGTTCTGCAGAAATTGGTTCCAGGCCCCACACTATTCAATATTTTCATCAATGATCTGAAGTCAACATAAAATCACTGCTGATAAAACTTGCAGATGATACAAAGATTGGCAGGTAAATACTGGTGATAGCACAGTCACACAGACTGATTTGGATCAGTTGGCAAGGTGGGACCATTCAAACAAAATGGATTCCAGCCAAATGCAAGGTCATACACCCCGGAACAAACTGTGCAGGCCGTATCAACAGAATGTGGGACTGTATCCTGGAAAGCAGTGACTCTGAAAAGGATTTAGGGATCACAGCGGACATAATAGAACATGAGCTTTAAGTTTTTCTGCCCACTGTTCCTGGATTGGGGGGGGAACCAACACAAGCAAAAGGAGAAATTGATTAACTAGCTGACTATCCAGGGGATAGACAGAGAAGCTATGATTAAACAAAATGCTGTTGAATGCACAAAGTATGCAAACTCAAAAAGAGAGACAAAAAAAATTCTCTAGTCTTTTAATTCTAGTAGGGGTTATTTGTAACTTGTATTACTGACAATTATTGGGAAATATTTTCAAACCCAAGCAAAACTTAAGTTGATGATGTCCATTTAACTTTCCTATTTCTGCTATCCCTTCTTATTTCAATTCGGCAGCTGTATTATTTAGTTCCGGTAAGAGTTTTGATGCACATTTTGTGTGAAAGGCAACAAACAAAAATAAAGCCCCAGTCCTGCAATCTGACTCACGTGGGTGGCCTCTTTCACCTGAATGGTGGCCCACTGCTTTCAGCAGGGCTCCATGTCGACACACAGATCTACCCATGCTGATCCAACTGCAGGATCAAGACCTAAAGTTGTAGTTTATTAGGATAAAGTTTTAATTTCCAATCAACCCATCCAGAGTCTGCCCCCGCCCAAACCTGCTGCATTTAAACTACATTATGAATCTAAGGTAGCCCACAAAGACATTCCTGACGCATCCTTTTGTACTGAGCAACTGTAGTCAGTAAGATCACTCGCTGTCCCTGGAACAAATGAGCATAACAAGGTGAATTAAGCATAGGGTTTTGTCTTTATCCTTGCTATTGTGGATTTAAGTTGGACTCCGATAAAGAAACCCCAAACCAACATTCAATAGTGTTTATCTGGTAGAATTAAAGACTTATTTGTCTAGTGCCTTTCATCCAAAAGGAGCCCAAAGCAAACTCTGAACTGCAGAATCATTGCCCGGCTGAAATCCAGCCACCTCTGCAGTGAAACAATACAACTTTTTAATGGCATCCACCAACACGGCATGCCAATTCAGGGCAAAAAATTAATAATATTGTATCAGGTAAATCTGTATCTAGGAAGAGACAATCGCTCAATTAGAAACTGGTGAACACATCTACTATAGTGCAAAACAATCCTGCATTAGCAGGGCAGATGATCCAATGAATATAAAATGACTCGTTCGCCTCTAATGGCCATGATTGTCTGAAAAGTGCCATGAGATCTTGAGCACAATGTATTTGATTTTTACATAACACCGTTTGTACAAAATTCTTAAAAACCAGAGGTAGACAAAAATATCATCAGTTAAAAATGCTTTAGAAGTTATTCTAGCTATTCTGTAAGATGCTATTTATAAACTCCATAGAACACTAGTCCACAAAGACCTAGGCCAATGTTTTGAGTGCACAATGAAGTTGTGCAAGATAGCCTGCTTTGCTTCTCACCAGTTCGAGGGCCTGGTCTCCCACACAGCTATCTAAAACGGACAGTTACCAAGTCCTGTCCTTGGGATGCTCCACCAATTGTGATACAATGCTTAACTAAACATTCAGTCCTAGAGGGGTACATTTTAATGGCGTGTACTTGAAACTTGGAAAAATTGGAAAAATTGAATGAGTGCCATCTGGCTTCATTAGATAAGACATTTTAATCCTTCCGGTCGCTCCTTCTAAACAGGAACATACTTTTTCATCCCTCTTCAGACAAAAGTAAGCATCACCTGAGGCCAAATTTAGCCCTGGAGTAACTATATTCTTATCTCTAAAGAAATGATACCCTTCCATTTGCTGGAGACTTTACGGAGTTACATCAAGGATCGACTGGTATCTTGTCATAACTAGGACATACAGAATATGTAGTGGCCTCCGTATCCACAGCCAGCATTGCTCCTTAGCTGGTCAATGTTTAGGTGCCAGGACTGACTGACTGGCTGGGAGAGGGGAGACCACCCACATTAAGATCTGGCAACTTCTCAACTTGCAGAAGCCACGAACAATGAGGCAACGATTTCTTTCTACACCACTGGTGAGTCACACCTAGAATACTGCTCACAGTACTGGACACCTTAGCACCTGGAGGAGGCTCAGGTTGATAAACTGGAGAGAATGAAGAGAAAGATGACTAAGGGACTGCAAGGACTGATTTATGAAGAAGGATTGAAAACAGTACCAGTAAATATTTGTAGCTTTATACAACTATAGTGGAATTCAGCCTCAGTGTAAAAGCATTTAGATTGTGTTAAATGCCAAGGATAGAGAGGGACTGTTTAATAACATACACAGGTTTATGGCTAGAAGATATAGGATGAAATTATGGCAAGGAAAATTTATGAAGAATAGTTTCGTGTTCCACTATAGCACTGTAGAAGTCTTGCTAGAGAAAGAGGTGGAAGCCGTGTCCCTTAGGATTTTTTAAAGCAGAGATGGACCTAAATCAGAGAAATGGGCTCTAGTCCTTCCCGTTGTTAAGGGGTGTTTGACCTAAGGGATTTAGTTTGGCCCCATATTTGTTGGAAACTGCTGGTCAAAGCAATAGAAAATCTAATAGAGGGAACAGTTCCACACTAGCCCCCCAGGAGATGACCCAAGCTTCCACCTCAAATTTCTAATATCCGCCACATGATCCATTCGTGTTTCCCCACCCTGAAGCCAAGCGTGCGCACACCCACGCACACACCCACACAGTATTAGAGAAGACAACACGATGGCACTTACCCTTCTCTGTCTATGTGCGGGAGCGGGTGTTTGGGGGTGTTCCGGAGCTTCCTGTGAATCTGTGTGAAGTCCAGCTTTTCAGGCTGTAAATCCCAGGTTGCACCACTAGGAAGGGAGAGAGAGAACGCACTACTAATTAAATGTGTTCATATTGGGAAGAGCATATCATATATACTTGCCCTTTATTTTCCAAAGGCTATTGTTTCTGGAGACATTGTTTCTGCTTCCAGCGGTCCCTGACCAGGTACCCCCGACTTTTACACTTAAGCACCCCAAATAAAAACTGTAGGTGCAGCACCTAAACCTTCTTAGCTACACATGCTGTTAGCTTTTGAAAAGTTCCCCTCAGTCTTTTGCTGCAGCAGCTAGTCTGGTCCATGCAGTGGAGATGCCCTCTCAGGAATCCTCATCTGTTGCTTGGAAGATCCCTGCTGGAACATGCATTACATAGCCTGGGGCGCAGGATCAACAAGTGCCAAGGAAAATACTTCCTTCGGGAGATCAAAGCCTGCAGTACTCAATGGACAGCACAGAATGGAACACAGAGCTGGGAGGAAAGTTTATTTTCTTGATTTAATCCTTCGTGCTTGATTGGAGCAGTACCCTCAGTGCCCACGTGCGGGAATGAAAACTGAAGAGCTCCTGACTCAAGTACTGATGCAAAATGCACATGCACACTGCTGATATATGGACAAACAACTGAATTTGCCCAAGTCCCTGAGAGGTCTCTTCGGTTTTGTGTATCAAGATTCCTCGACAGATATGGGCATGTCTACACAGCAACTGGAGGTGTTATTGCAGCTCAGGTAGCTAGCATGATTAAAAACAGCAGTGAAGACACGGAGCACAGACCCCCGTGCAAGCTAGGAATATGAGTATATACCCAGGGTTCTGGGAGGGCTTGTACAGCCAAGTGCCACCACGTCTTCACTGCTATTTTTATTCAAGCTGGCAGGGATATGCCTCCACAATGTGCAATCACACCTCCAACTGTAGCATAGACATAGCCTTAAACTAGTCAAATTAGTGCACTTTTGGTGTGCAAACAATCCCACCGACCTCCTCTAGCTTGAACTCCAGCAAAAACAAGGTGCACGTTATCTGCACTTAAGACGAGGGACTGGACTGGGGAGGAGGAGGCATGACAGTCTCCAAGTTGTAATGCTTGCATGTCTGTAGAAGAGCCCTGAGGAGAGGGATAAAAGAGGTCATATTCCATCTGTCTTGTAAAAGGGCTTTTAAATGAGCTTACCTGAAGGAATCGAAGGTATTGGCTGCCCAGATATCTGTCCCCAACATGTCCAGGGAGTTGTCTTTGTTGCCATTCTAAAAAAGGAGGGGAAAGAGTTATTTTTGAGGAGTTGCAATGAACTTCCCGACCCAACATATAACTCTGCCACTGAGTATTAGCAACACTCTTCATCCGAGTGAAATACAGACACACTACAATGAACAGCATTTTGGGTGGGTCTCACATTTCCCCAATTGCTTCTGAGACTTGTTAGGCTTCCCAATTTTGAACCCCTATTTTAAGAAGGTGATAACTCACAGGGACAAGTTTTCTCTGGGCCAATGAAAATTTGAATATGAAGTCTCATTGCACAAACTGAAAAGTTGGTAAATTAGGAGGAGCCGAAACCTGCCCCAATTACTCCAGGGAATTTGGTGTCAACTCAACCATGAGCAGCCACATGGCTACTGGGATCCAGGACTGAAGAGAACAAGGCATAAACTGGGTGTTGTGGAGGGATAATGATTGGAAGATGGTTGGCCACCATGATGTCCCTGATGGCATAATGTCCCCCCATTCACCAGCACAAGCCACTTGAAAGGAGAAAGCATTGACTTAGAATGTCAGGGGACTTCTCCTGATAAGGAGAGGGCTCTGGCTCTGGCTGTGATCTAGGTGTGACATCCCTCCCTCCCAAACCTTGGCTTGTAAGCCCTACAGGGTCTATCAGGACTTGGCTTCACAAAGAAAACACAGTTTGCCAGGTTTAAGGCTTGCTAGCCAGTGAGCTCATCCCTCAGATTTGGCCCTGACTGAATCAAATCCAATCCGGCTACATAACCATTTCCCTGAATTTTAAGGGGCTCCCTTTTTGTAGCTGACTGTGAAGCAGTTTTAGCGGTCACGACAAGAGAGCTGTCCTTATCTATAGAGATACAAAAACACCAACACCCCAGCATTTCACCACGCTGAACTCTCTGATGAGATATCAGACACCTTTATGGTTTACAGCTGTGATAATTACTACTCGAGATCTGACAGGAACACCATTTCTTTTGGCTCAGCACAGTATCAGATCGTGAGATATCACAATACCCAGTAACTTGCACGATAATTGTGCCATTACTATATGTCACCACTGTAGACTAGAAGTGCTTGGGTGCCCAACTCCATAATGCTAACTTTTTGTACATTAGGGAGCGGGAGGTGTGATAGGACTAGCCTGAAGACTTTGGAAGTACAGGGCCATTGTTAGCTCCCACACAAACCACTCACGCTTACAGTTTACTAAAACATTCTTTAATTCTTTCCAATGGCACTACCCTTTGAGCAACAAACACTTGGTTAAGGGAGATGAATGCATTGTCCTTTTGTTTCATAGCCCCAGATTAGCCAGTCATAAATGTGCAGTTTCTGTCCACCTTCCTCACCAACACGCATCGGGTGAAGGACCTCGGAGGAACGCCACTGCTTCAGAGGCAAAGCCACTCTGTTATCTCCTGCAAAGCTGCCTACCTTGAGCACGCAGCATACTCACTGGGACGGCAATTATAACTATAATCAGCTTTAAACTTCAAGATCCCAATGACCCAACCCATGGGTTTAAATAATCATTTGTACTCAAGTGGAGTTGGAATATTACTCTCAAAAATTAATTGAACCATTAACAGTGATGATTGAAAGACAGAGTGATGGGAGCATTATAAATGCTCAGACAGATTAAGGAGATTTGATCAAACAGACCCTACACACATTATGGGACTAGGCACATTAGGGACTCTGTTCTCAAAATCCTGTGTGCACAAATGCAGGTGGACAAAATCTACATCAATGGTGTGCCTAATGTGTGTGCCCATGTGCCCACATAACCATAGTGATGGCACAAGCAAATGACCAATGAGTTTGACTATTTATGCCTGCAATTGCAGTAAATTCTCCCAAATAAATGAGACATTTAAATGCACACAAAGTAGATTTTGAAAATCTGCCCATTTATGACACAAACTTTTCTATCATTCCTCCCCATCCATTCCTTAGCAAATGAACCTGAATACACAATGCTTTTTGTTACATTAGTGTCAGGATAGATAATCAACATTTATTTTTTTAAAAATCAGATTTTTAAATTTTATTTAAATATAATTTTCTTTTAAAAATTAATATGAAATTATGATCATCTGTGTCAAAGGCCAAAATTTACTATGCTCTATTAAATCATTTAAATGAACTAAAATAATAATATTAAGCAGTACATAAGAATGGCCATAATGGGCAAGACCAATGGTCCATCTAGCCCAGTATCCTGTCTTCCAACAGTGGCCAGTGCCAGATGCTTCAGAGGGAATGAACAGAACAGGGCAGTTATTGAGTCATCCGGCTCATGTCATCCAGTCCCAGCCACTGGCAGTCAGAGGTTTAGAGACACCTGAACTATGGGGTTGTGTCCCTAATGATCTTGGCTAATAGTCATGGATGGACCTATCCGCCATGAATTTATCTAAATCTTTTTTAACTCAGTTCTATTTTTGGCCTTCACAACATCCCCTGGCAACCAGTTCCACAGGTTGACTGAGCATTGTGTGAAGAAATACTTCCTTTTGTTTGTTTGAAACCTGATGCCTGGGTGACTGCTGGTTATGTCGTTATGTGAAGGGGTAAATAACACTTCCCTATTCACTTTCTCCACACCATTCATGATTTTATAGGACTATCATATCCCCCTTAAGTCACCTCTTTTCTATAAAAGAACATAAGAATGGCCATACTGGGTCAGACCAAAGGACCATCTAGCCCTGTATCCTGTCTTCCTACAGTGACCAATGCCAGGTGCCCCAGAGGGAATGAACAGAACACGCAATCACCAAGTGACCCATCCTCTGCCACCCACTCCCAGCCTCTGAAAACAGAGGCTAGGGATACTATCCCTGCCTATCGTGGCTAACAGCCATTAATGGACCTATTGTAAGCTAAACAGTTGCAGTCTTTTTGATCTCTCCTCATATGGAAGATGTGCCATACCCCTCATCATTTTAATTGTCCTTCTCTGTCCCTTTTCTAATTCTAAAACATCTTTTTTGAGATTGAGGGGACCAGAATAGCTGCAGTCTTCAAGGCTGGGCGTACCATGGAGTTATATAATGGCATTATAATAATTTCTGTCTTATTATCTATCCCTTTCCTAATGATTCCCAACATTTTGTTAGCTTTTCTTTTTTTTACTGCCACTGCATATTGAGTAGATATTTTCAGAGAACTATCCATGATGACTCCAAAATCTCTTTCTTGCGTGGTAACAGCTAATTTAGACCCACCATTTTGTATGCATAGTTGGGATTATTTTTTCCAATGTACATTACTTTGCACTTATCAACACTGAATTTCATCTGCCATTTTGTTGCTCAGTCATCCAGTTTTTTGAGGTCCCTTTGTAACTCTTGGCAGTCAGCTTTTGTCTTAATGATCTCAAGTAATTTTGTATCGTCTGCAAACGTTGACACCTCACAGTTCACCCCCTTTTCCAGATCACTTATGAATATGTTGAACAGCACTGGCCCTAGCATAGATCCTTTGGGGACCTCTCTAATGACCTCTCTCCACTGTGAAAGCTGATAATTTATTCCTACCCTTTATTTCCTATCTTTTAACCAGTTACTGATCCATGAGAGGGCCTTCCCTCTTATCCCATGACTGCTTTCTTTGCTTAAGAGCCTTTGGTGAAGGACCTTCTCAAAAGCTTTCTGAAAGTCCAAGTACACTATATCCACTGGATCTTTCTCCACATGCTTGTTGACTCCCCTCAAAGAATTCTAATGGATTGGTGAGGCATGATTCCCCTCTACAACAGCCATGTTGACTTTTCCCCAACACATTGTGTTCATCTATGTGTCCGATCGTTCTGTTTTTTACAATAGTTTCAACCAATTTTTACGAAACTGAAGTTAGGCTTACTGGCCTGTAATTGCCAGGCTTGCCTCTGGAGCCCTTTTAAAAAAATTGGCATCACATTAGCTATGCTCCAGTCATCTGGTACAGAGGCTGATTTAAGTGATAGATTACATACCCCAGTTAGTAGTTCTGCAATTTCATATTTGAGTTTCTTCAGAACTCTTGGGTGAATAACATTACTGTTTTAACAATTTGTTGCAAAACCTCCTCTATTGACACCTCAATCTGGGATAGTCTCTCAGATCCGTCACCTAAAGAGAATGGCTCAGGTATAGGAATCTCCCTCACATCCTCTGAAGTGAAGACAGATGCAAACAATTTGTTTAGCTTCTCCGCAACAGCCTTGTTTGCTGCCACAGTTTTAAAGAAAGTCAAACCACTGAACTGGTAGGACTCACTGGTTAAACACCTGGAACCAGTTTGTTGAAGTGCTAACCCAGCTATGACTGCCTTTTGCAGGTACATAGAGAATTTTTTTTTAATTTCAGTTTATTCATCTAGTTCAATTCAGTGATTATATTTCATTCAAAGTTAAGAAATTGATTGGGTTTGGAAAACACAGGAAAGCTTGTTTTCCTCTTCTAATCTATGAATAAAAATTAGATGTGAGGATGAGATCTACTAGTTCTAAAGACTGAAGGACATGGGGACCTGAAAAAATCAGTTCAATTCACTAACTACAGATAATACTTCCTTTGTTTAATAAATCAGTTGGTCTAATGTATTCAGCAAATTTTAAAATGCTTTTTGTGCACTTCAATTGAATTACAATTTCCAGCCAAAGAGAGCTTGACACAAATCATGAGTAAAATCTAAGTAAGAAAGAAATGCACCATTCACCATTTTCTAACATAATACAAATGTAAAAATTAAGAATGTGAATAAATAATACTAAGCTACATAACTGCTTAAATAAATGTGTATAAATATAGTGTATCATGGTTAGCAAAAAGCAGTACCAAATTTATCATCAAGGCTATATTTAGTTGGGAAATCAACTTTATTAATGGGTACCAATCAATGAGAATCAAACTTTCTTTAGGAAAATAACTGAAAAATACAAATGCAAAACAAGACTAAAATTGATTATTTAAATCAAGGTTCTCAGCTTGCTGATTTAAATAACTTAGATTTAATCACAGAGTTAAATCAATCAATCCTGATAAGTACTGCATATACAATCACTGTACTTTTTATTACCATAAATAATATAAACAATTGACTGAGCTTTGACCTTCCCAGTCACTTAAATACTGGGATTATCCTGGGTACCATGGTGAATTCTATGTGCATATCACCTGACAAGTTTCCCATGGATAAGAGCCTTCACCACACTGCCTCACCAGTTGTACCTTGGCAGCACACAATCAGCTAACAGCGCTCACAGCTGCTGCAGGCTCCAAGCCAGGAACTGAGCCTGGGACCGGAACTCAGCCTCTGTGCTGTGATGTTTAGACTAATGGGTTGGTCGCACATTTTCGCTTTTAATGGTGATCTGCAAACATCTTTTTAAAACCACCTCTATAATATCCCAAAACTAAAGCACTCCCAGATTTCAAGCACAAATTAATTCCCTCTCCCTCTAGCCTAAACTGACCAGTAGCAAACTTATTTTCCTGCATTAAAGCACCCAATACTACTAAAAAGGCCTCTTGAAATGTAGACGCTTGAGAGATGCATTCCAACCAGGCCTTTAGCAGTTAGGCCATGCATTATGCAGACAGATTAAGTATTTACTTACACACACACACACACACACACACACACACACTATCATGTCATTAAAAGAATAAGCCCACGACTAACAGCAAGTGGAGCACATGATTCAGCATTCCTCAGTCATATTTCACCAAACACTACCAGTTTATACCTTGGTTGAATGACTGAACTGGCTGCTTCTCCCTTGGCTGTCAGACCTTGATCCAGACCCAGGCCTGGAGCCTGAACTAGGCCGGGATCCTGAACTCCCACTGCTGCTGTGATCCCACTCTTCCTAGAAACAACAAACAGCTCGCTTTAGTCAAGTGCAACTTAATTCCTACCCTAATGAAAAATGCCAGTTTAATACACTAGAGAGTCGGTGTAGTCTAAATCTTGCAGGCATGGCACTAGGAGCCAAGAATTCCCAAGAATTTGTGGCTCTGCCACCAGTTTACTCTGTTGCCTTAGGTATGTCACTTAATATCTTTAGACCAAATTCTGCCTTTATTTATGCACTGTGCAACCCAACCAACTCCAATGGGGTTGCATGATGTTTGAATCCAGGCAGGATTTGGCCCTTCATACCTCAGTTTCCCCATCATTTAATTCTTTAAAAAAAAAATTAAAAAGAGAAAAAACTTGAAATGGAAACAAAATGTTTCATTTGACCCAAAATAATTTTTTCCCCCATTTTTTGGACTTGCCAACAAACTGAACAATCCATTATTCACACAGCTCTTGCTGTGACAAGAGTTGTGGACTTCACCTCTATGTTCTAAGAACTATGTTCTAGGGACAGCATTAGCGGGGCTGTGTTGTGAGCTGATGGGGTGAATATCCGGGTGTCTGTCTGCTGGGACCATTTGTTTCACGGTGCTGGTGGCAGGGACTGTTTGACCCTGTGTTTGTTTGTTTGAAAAGTGTGAACTGGGAGTGCTTTGTTCCAGGTGGGCCTTGAGTGGTTGATTGGAGGGAAGATTTGAGCCCGGGGAACTGCTTCAAGCCAGCAGCCTTATAAAACAGCAGCCAGTTGCGAACTCAAGTGAGCAGCGAACAGAGCAGAGGCAAACAGAGGGAGTTTGCCTTGGGGGAGATCCCACAGTTTTTTGCCTTTCAGGCTTCTGTGAGCAGTAAATACAACATCTGAAGAGGCTCTTAGAAAGAAGACAATATGGATAGTGAGCGATCAGCTGTTGTGAACTGCACAGGATGTGCCATGTTTGTCTTTCTCCCAGAGGACAGAAGCGACTTCGTCTGTACGAAGTGCAAGCTGGTCTCCATATTGGAAGAGAAGGTTAAAGGACTAGAGACCCAAAGTATCAACCCTGCGCTGCATCAGAGAAGATGAAGACTTTCTGGATAGAAGTCAGCATTTGGTACTGCCGGCACAGCATGCTGAAAAATCAGAGAGGGCAGTGCAGAACGGGGAAGAAAATTGGCAGCGTGTGCCTCCAGAGGAAGAAAGAGGAGAACCCATGTACCCCCAATGCACATAAAGGTAAGAAACCATTTTCAGGCTCTCTGCAAAGGTACTACGGCAGAGAATGGTTTGGAAGAGTCATCTGAGAAAAGGGATCAAAAGGAGACCCCATCGACCGGAAGGCATGGGATGATTGTCCTAGGGATGGGGGTTCCACGACCACCACTCCCAAGAGGAGGAGAGGGGTGGAGGTGGTTGGGGATTCCCTCCTATGGGGGACAGGGTCATCCATCTGCCGACCAGACCAGGGAAACTTGAGAAGTGTGCTGCTTGCCTGGGGCTAGAATTCAGGATGTGACGGAGTGTCTGCCGAGACTGATCAAGCCCTCGGACCACTACCCCTTCCTACTTCTCCATGTGGTCACCAATGATACTGCCAAGAATGACCTTGAGTGGGTCACTGCAAACTATGTGGCTCTGGGAAGAAGGATAAAGGAGTTTGAGGCACAAGTCATGTTCTCATCCATCCACCCTGTTGAAGAAAAAGGCCCAGGTAGGGACCATCGAATTGTGGAAGTAAATGCGTGGTTGCGCAGGTGGTGTCAGAGAAGGGGTTTTGGATTCTTTGACCATGGGATGTTGTTCCGGGAAGAAGGATTGCTAGGAAGAGATGGGATCCACCTAACGGAGAGAGAGAAGAGCATCTTCGCAGGCAGACTTGCTAACCTAGTGAGGAGGGCTTTAAACTAGGTTCGCTGGGGGATGGAGACCTAAGCCCTGAGGTAAGTGGGGGAGTGGGATACCAGGAGGAAACACAAGGAGGAAGGTGCAACAGGGGAGGCCTCCCGATTCATACTGAGAAAGTAGGGCAATGGGTTAGGTATCTTAGATGCCTGTACACGAATGCAAGAAGCCTGGGAAACAAGCAGGAAGAATTGGAAGTCCTGGCAATGTCAAGGAACTATGATGTGATTGGAATAACAGAGACTTGGTGGGGTAACTCACATGGCTGGAGCACTGTCATGGATGGGTATAAACTGTTCAGGAAGGACAAGCGGGGGAGAAAAGGTGGAGGAGTTGCATAGTATGCAAGAGAGCAGTATGATTGCTCAGAGCTCCGGTATGAAACTGGAAAAAAGCCTGTTGAGAGTCTTTGGATTAAGTTAAGAGGCGAGAGCAACAAGGATGATGTCATGGTGGGCGTCTGCTATAGACCACCAGACCAGGAGCATGAAGTAGACGAGGCTTTCTTCGGACAACTAACTGAAGTTTTCAGATCACAGGCCCTGGTTCTCATGGGGGACTTCAATCACCCTGACATCTGCTGGAAAAGCAATACAGCAGTGCACAGACAATCCAGCAAGTTTTTGGAGAGTGTTGGCGACAACTTCCTGGTGCAAGTGCTGGAGGAACCAACTAGGGGCTGTGCTCCTCTTGACCTGCTGCTCACAAACAGGGAAGAACTGGTAGGGGAAGTAGAAGTGGGTGGCAACCTGGGCAGCAGTGACCATGAGACAGGTGAGTTCAGGATCCTGACAAAAGGAAGAAAGGAGAGCAGCAGAATACAGACCCTGGACTTCAGAAAAGCAGACTTTGACTCCCTCAGGGAACTGATGGGCAGGATCCCCTGGGAGGCTAATATGTCCAGGAGAGCTGGCTACATTTTAAAGAAGCCTTATTGAGGACGCAGGAACAAACCATCCCGATGTGCAGAAAGAATAGCAAATATGGCAGGCGACCGGGTTAGCTTAACAGAGAAATCTTCAGTGAGCTTAAACACAAAAAGGAAGTTTACAATACGTGGAAACTTGGACAGATGACTAGGGAGGGGTATAAAAAAATTGCTCGAGCATGTAGGGGTGTAATCAGGAAGGACAAAGCACAATTGGAGTTGCAGCTACCAAGGCATGTGAAGGGTAACAAGAAGGGTTTCTACAGGTATGTTAGCAAAAAAAGGTCAGTGAAAGTGTGGGACCCTTACTGAATGGGGGAGGCAACCTAGTGACAGATGATATGGAAAAGGTGAAGTACTCAATGCTTTTTTGCCTCGGTCTTCGCAGACAAGGTCAGCTCCCAGACTGCTGCACTGGGCAACACAGGCCCGGGGGGGGGGGGGGAGGGAGAGGAAGGGGAGTTGAGCAGCCCTCAGTGGTGAAAGAACAGGTTAAGGACTATTTAGAAAAGCTGGACATGCACAAGTCCATGGGGCCGGATGCAATGCATTCGAGGGTACCGAAGGAGTTGGCTGATGTAATTGCAGAGCCATTGGTCATTATCTTTGAAAACTTGTGGCGATCGGGGGAGGTCCCAGATGATTGGAAAAAGGCAAATATAGTGCCCATCTTTAAAAAAGGGAAGAAGGAGAAACCAGGGAACTTATGAGGAGAGGCTGAGGGAACTGGGCTTATTTAACCTGCAGAAGAGAAGAGTGAGGGGGGATTTGACAGCAGCCTTCAACTACCTGAAGGGGAGTTCCAAAGAGGATGAAGCTCGGCTGTTCTCAGTGGTGGCAGATGACAGAACAAGGAGCAATGTTCTCAAGTTGCAGTGGGGGAGGTCTAGGTTGGATATCAGGAAAAACTATTTCACTAAGAGGGTGGTGAAGCACTGGAATGGGTTACCTAGGGAGGTGGTGGAATCTCCATCCTTAGAAATTTTTAAGGCCCGGCTTGACTAAGCCCTGGCTGGGATGATTTAGTTGGGGTTGGTCCTGCTTTGAGCAGGGGGTTGGACTAGATGAGCTCCTGAGGGCCCTTCCAACCCTGATATTCTATGATTCTATGACTGATGCTACAGCATCCTAAGGCTAAGGCTGCAGGTGAGAACATGATCTTTTAGGTTAGACAAGTGCCAAAGAGAGGAAATCCTACATTCCATTAGCAATGGCTTTAGAAGTCTTTAAAAACCATGGATTGCACAGGTGGCAATCCTACTGATGTTTATGTGGTCACGTTCTGGGATAACTTCTGCAAACCAGGAAGTACATGCAGGATTTTACAGACAAGAAAAAGAATTCCATAGAGGTGCATTAAAATCTATTTCTGTGCCGAATACCATCTCTCCCCGCCCCCCCCCCCAAACAGCATGGTAGTGGAGTTATTCAGCATATAAAGCTGAGCTTAACCCAATTTTCACTTTTAATGAGCTGTTGATGTTCTAATAAAGCACCAGTTTTTGAACACCAGTTTTACAAAACAAAAAATAAGACACAAATACACATCAAAGTGCTGGAGGGAATGCCATGAAGAGAAACTATTATTAAATTATATTATTATTTATTTGGTATCCCCCAAATATCTATCACTATGTTGTTAGGAAAATGTCCAGACTGAATTTTTGTGACTGCAGCCCATTAAACAAGGTATTTCCGCAAGTGACTAACTTGACGCACATGAATAGTCCCACTGACGTCAATGCCTAAAGTTAGGCATATACCCATGTACTTTGCCAAACTGAAGCCTATGGCTACCTAAATAAATACCAGCTATAGAACTGTGATTGACTAAAATAAAAGAATTAAGAGAAATGGAGAGACGTATTGCCTATATTAAATTAACATCTGAATTATGGCAGGAAATAGGGGCCAAATGCAATGATCTAATAAGACAGATAATAAATAAATAATAATAAATAAAAATAATTGCTTTTAACTTTTACTAAATCAATTTGTATACTAACTGTGACTCATATCCTACAAATCTTATCTCTGCTGCAGGCCTTCATATTTTGTATTTTTCACCTCTCTTTTGATATTTTCATGAAAAAAAATTGGTCAACAACTTATAAAAAGTTAGTCACTAAAAAACTGGCGATACGTCATGCAGGTGATTAAAGGAAAGACAAAGCCTCCTGGGCAGCCTGGCTGGCTCAAC